CGTGAGCAGCCAGCAGCTGCAGTGAGCGGCCATCCAGAAGCCCGCGACTGATCTGCCTCGCCCGGGAAGAGCGCAATGATGGTACCAACTTGGGCCAGTGAAGCAACGTCCTCCACAACTAGACTGAAGAACAAAAGGACAGCAACTTGTCTGTTCCCCATCCCCCGATTCTGCAGCACTGTTCCCATTCCCCCCAATAAAAATCTTAAAAAACAAAAAACATTAATATGACTTCTAACAGCAGCAAGGCTGCATCCCTAGGATGACCCTAGCTCCTTTAACGAGCCGGCCTGTGAAAACTGAAAGTGGCGAAAATACTTTAGTTTGTTCCAGCTAACAGAGGGCGGGTTGTGGGATGGTAGGAACCTAACCTTTTTTTTTTTTTTTTTTTGGCCGGCCCGGAACCTAACTTCTTAAGCTGCAGCTGACAAACTCAAATGGGTTTCAAAAGGACCAACCCCACTTCCCACTTTCTGTAATTTTTTCACTTTCCTGACTCTAAGCCCCGCTCACCGCCCCTCCCTATCCCTTCATTCTCCCTTTAAAACGCTCAAGTTACCTCCATACAAATGAAGTTGAGTTCAGTCCACGTTGGTCTCTTGTCCCTATCGCAGCAGCACATTACTGATAAAAATGTGTCCCGACCACTTTAACCAGTGTCGGCTATGTTTACCTTTGACACATCTCTCGGGCACTTTGCAGTCTATCAGAGAAAACAAACTACTGCGACAAGGAGCCGGGGCCGTCCGGAGCAGCCCCGACTGGCGCCGAAAGCTCCAGGCGCCCTTTTCCCGGCACCAAGCTGGGTGGCCCCGGCCCTCCAGGTCCGCAGGCGCCTCCTCCCTGCCGGCAGCCGCGCCGCGACCCTCGGGGCCCCGGGGCAACGCCGGGCCTGCGGAGGCCAAGCAGGACGTTGGGACAATAGCGCAGCCTCCGCCCTCACCTTTGGGAAAGATGAGCTGCGAGGCGTCCTCCTCGACGTCGCCAGTCAGCGGGTCGCTGCTACCCGCCGCCATCGCCGGGCCGCGCGCCGACTCCCACACCGCCGGAAGCGGAAGCGCCTGGGCCCCGGTGCAGCCACGTCCAGGGCGTGGCGGAGGGGCGGGCGGGGCCTGGAAGCTGCGAGGGCGTGGCCGTGCTCAATGTTGTCTCCGCCGCTCGGTTGCCGTGAGTCCTGGGGCGGGTCCTTGGGCCTTTCTGAGCCTCAGCTTCTCACCTGTGAAATGTGGGTAGGGCCACCTGCTCCCCAGTAGGGAGGGGTGCACAGGATGAGATGCAGGAATGCTCCGACTGACCCCAGGAACTCCCCGTTGATGGAATGCCGGGTCGGTGACCTCGAAAACATACTGGGGAATTTCTTGCAATGCCTTATGCCTTTTAAATTTTCGATTGACGTGTATTGGATTATTCTGATACTTCTGAGCATGTGGACGGTGATTTTGAGAGGCTTTTAACATCCGTTGGAGCACTTGGATTATACATAGAAAAGTAAGCAAATGAAAAATGTTTTTGCAACTTCGGAGAAAAGAAGATTGTAAAATAAAGAATCATAGTGCACTGCTTGGCTCAGTAGTGAGCAATGTTTAGGTCCCATGTAAGCTCTGCTCAAAGGAAAAGTAAACCAGACAAGACTATGTACCTTGCATTCCTTTGCTTTATAAATATATTTTTTACAAAATTAATGTTTCATTTGTGTATTTCCAGGAGAAATGTATTGGGTATGTTGATGAAAGAACGTCTAGCCTAAGAAAGTCTTACAAGAGTTCATTTGAGCCAAACTGATGACAATTGCAGGTAAACAAAATCTCAGCAAATTGAGAAAATGCTCCGGAGAATGGCAGTTTTGCAGCTTATTTTATACATTAGAATCAAAGGAGGAAACATAAGGAGGTTTACATGAAATCCATTGATGGTAAATAAGGGGGTGGGAGAAAACAAAACAGGGAAATCTCTGGGACTGGATAAAAAACAAAATGGAGAGGCCATCCTTCATTTACATTGTTGAGTACAAGTTAGTTAACATTTACAGCACGTAAGATGATATGTGGGCAACCAGATAGTAATATGGTCTCATGCTCTGGTGCCAGTGGTTGTGACTTCGAGGGGTCAGTAAAAGAAAATAACTGACAATTCAAAGATATGTTATCTTAGATTGCACAAAGACAATAGACAATTTCAAAGGTAAAGACTGACCTTTGTCAAGGAAGATACAGGCCTAGGATGGGACTACCCATCATGGCCTGCTTTTAGTCAGGGATTTTTATGTTGCAGCCATCTTGTGTGGTTACTTTTGGTCTCTTGAGTATGTAAAATGTGGGCCTCCCCTGAGCTTGTCAGGTTCAGTACGTGACCCCTTTTTGGTCCACAGGTAAAATAACAGTAGGTTATACAGCAGTAGCAGATCTTGTTACTGTTTCAAAGTGCTTTACTACACAGTTCATTAGAGCTGTGACAGAGGTACCGATGAGGTGTATGGGGGACATGCCGCTGAGGGGTAGGAAATGGGCCTGGATCTCTGTAGGCCCCTTTCTTTCATGTATCCATTCAACAGGCCTTTACAGAGCACCTACTTACTGGACCTTACCATTTGCTGGCCCAAGAGCTGGATGAATTCCCAACACTTGGTATCTTCGGCACACACAGCAGTAGAGAAGACTATAGGTAAAGACAAGGAGAATAAAAAATAATACAAACTGATGTTGGGCCGGCCGAGTGGTACGATGGTTAAGAACTAGCTTGGGACGCCAGAGGACCCCGGTTCGGATCCCACATATGAGGGCCAATGACACTGCCCTCTACAGCTAAGATGCTGAACAACAATTCAGCC